GTCTGAAAGGAAGTAACGCTAGAGTAGACTCGCGAAAAGTGTATAAGACACTTTTAAGATCAACTAAATAGCTAAGCCCAAGGGAAGTCGTTCGGGGAGGCCCTCCCTAATTCCACAAGGGTGAGAAGAAACACACACGATAACGAAACGTTGAATCATGTAGAACTCGTAGGGTAAATGCAAAGCAAATTAGGAAGAATATGCAGTAAGCTAAGCGAAGAGGTAAGCAAGAGACATGTTAGACTATGACTACCAAAAAAAACTAAACGTGTTAGTACAGTAATAACGACTACAACTAAAAACAATAACAACATCTACAATCAAAAATTAATTCAAATAAAATAAACTACAAAAAACATGCAAAATAGACAAGTATTTTAACTACGGGGTCTTCTTTATCTTCTCCACCGGCGATCTGAAACAGATAGGGTGGCAACAGATTAATAATGAGAAACAAATGTTAATTATGTTATGTATTCTCACCTTAATTAATTACAATGTGCCAAAGTCAACAAGTGCAAACAGTAATGCAAATCCAGGAAGAATGATGCCACTGCAGACAATTTGGGATGCAAATCAACTTCAAGGTGCTCTCTCAATCATTCGTCGAAGATTAATTGGATAATGTTGCAAAATGAAGATGTTAACGGCAGGCCAATGTCCATAGTCCAAGAAAAATGACACCACAGGGTAGAATAAAAATTAACTTCATGCTTATAAGATAATCTGTAAAAACGGATAAAAAATGAATTAACGAAGTGTAGTAAGTAAATAACATGGAATAAAAGTTGTAAATCAACAATGTTCTGTAATTTTTTACTGATTTTTTGCTATTTTATTCTCCCATTGCATTGCAATCCATAGAGTTTTAATAATGTTCCTGTGAAATAAATTGTTTCTAGTTCCCCTAGTAAATAATTTGATAACAGAATGTAAAACAATAATGTTGAGCACTAGAGAAGTTTTTATTACAATGGTACAAATGGAAAAACTTATACATTAGTAAGCCTCAGTAACCAGTATCCATCATCTTATTTTAATGTAAAATTCTAATTTGGGCACACATGCTTACCTTAAAAATGCAGAAAATTTTTCCAAGTGGGGAAGACAAGGGTAAACGAAGTGCAGTAAGAACATATCACTGTACACGATCCATTCGGGGACACTCAATAATACCCAAGGAAACTTCAATATGCTTTCAATAATAGGCCAATCTGTAAAACAGAACAAGAGAAAACGAATTAGATGCAATATTAATGAACAATATCTGAAAATTAAAACGCAATTTTCAACAAACAAAACCAAGTAAAGCTCCAAATTATATAATGGCCATAGATAATAGATATACAAAGTGTATAGGTAATAGATGTAAAAATAGAAATACAATAGATACACAATTATCCATTGAGCAAGAAAATGAACATTGGATACGTTCAAAAATATTAATCAACCAAAAAATCAAAGATTTAGTTCAATTACAAATTGTTAATAACAATTTTTCCAATAAAAAATTATGGCATAAATGATTAAAGAAGCTTCCTTCTATAGCGCTGAACGCCTGTTTTAATAAGGCATTAGAACTTGTATTATTTTTTATAATCTTTTGTTTATCGTTTATAACTAATTTCCAAGAGGACATTTAAAGTGGTATTTTAATTAGGGCATACATTCTTACCTTAATAAACTACAAGACGTTTCCTAACGTTTTTACTTGAAGAAGACAACAACAAACGAGTTGCAGAAAGAACAAGTATCATTGGACACCATCCAACTGTCGATATCACTCCAAATTAGCGTCAATAAACTTTCATTTGTAAATCAATCTATAGAAGAGAACAAGAAAAAACGAATTAGCTCCACTAATAATGATGAATACGTGAAAATTAAAGGGTAATTATGAACAAACAAAACTAAGTAAAACTACAAATCTAATTCATGGTACCTGAGTTACGAAGGACATACTATAATTCCTTAAGTGTAATATAAGGTATAATCGAAAAGTTTTAACAGAAAATTCTCAAAATTAATTTACCATGTTGATTTTCCGTATAAATGGGTCGATTTTGACTGTTGTTCATTTAGATGTTGTTGTTTGGGGTTGCACGTATTAAAAAATACACTTTATAAGCCTTACTATTCGGCGAAATTTAAATTTGAAGTGACTTACACTTAACGCACAGGTTGTTTGATTAAAAAAAAATATATTAGCGTTAGCCAAAATTTATTTTTATTACTTTTTTTGTTTTAAATCACTACAATTTCGAGCAAAGAAGGAAATAGAAACGAGTAAACTTTAAACATATGTAGCAAATACCGCTGCATGTTTTACTAATTGTAAAGAAAAGCTTACATAAAATAAATTGATAGTTTGTCCTTTTTTTTCTTTTTGTATAATAATAATAATAATATTTTTTTCTTCCTGTGACAATAGACAACTAATAGTAAATTATTGTTACTTCTAACAGTAGTTTATATCCAAATAAATTTTACAAAATACATTGAAAACAAAAACAAACATGTACAGTACATCGTACTATTATCATTCTACACGTATCATTGAAACACGTTTCATTTAATGTGTATACGTTTCTTTATATTTTAAACTAAAAAATGTACCACCGTTCGTTCCATTTAATAATATTTTAATAATAAATNATACATACAGTAATGTGCATTTTTTTAGTATAAAGAAGTAAATTTCAAGATACACTAAGGAATCATAGTAATTCTCTTGATATTTCAAAAATGAATCACTAATTAGACATTTTTTTACTTAATAAATAATTGTATCCTTTCTTTCTAGGGCGATATGTAGGAAGTAGACCTATCAAACTTCGTAAAAGCAATTGGAAAAACAGATGCGTGGATACAGTGAGGAAGAAAGAAAAAGAAAGGGCTGCCCTAATAAACATGTTAACGGCTGGTTCAACAAAGTGAGAGAGACAGACGTAGACTGCACTGGTAAAGTTTCTTTTTATTTTACACTTGCTAGTTATTATAAAGGCGATTATTTTTTGTCAACATAGAATTAATGAACATAAAAATACAATTTTTATTCATACTATTGAACTTCAGTTTATCGTCATAATTACTCAGCGCTGCCGTTTACAAACCTTAACGCTTCTACATATTGCAACAAATTAATAACGTTTATGTAATCATTAAATCAAGCAAATTATAAAGATCATTCGAAAACGTCCCTGTATTTCTTATACATTGGGGATCTCAGGAGAAGCATCCTTTTTCTCGTCCCCTCCTTCTAGCATTTTGGGTAATTTTCCTTCCTCTTCCTCTCCATAACCGCCGATTTCGTATTGTTGTTGTAAATATTCTATAATATCAAGTAGAGAATCTTCAGAGTCTTTATAAAGCCACGGCTGAGGTTCCGGCGGAAGTAATTCCGGTTGGAATGTAGTTACACATCGGGCCCTCCAAATTGGAACAATTCCTTTAGGTGTTGATCTGTCTTCTTCCTCATCTAAACCTATTTATAAAGTAGGTACGATATTAATACATCGTTGTTTATTAATAATAATTATTTAGTTGTTAAAAAAAAAAAAAAATTCGTTGCAGATGCTAATTAGTATTTATTCGAGTGTTAACGAATATATTGCGCGGTTTTCATAATTGAATCGCCTCAGTCAGTGTCAGTATTTTAATAAAACTTCTACATAAGACAACGTGTTATGCATATAGATGATCTACCTGTGGTTTTACTTCAAAAAGGCTTGATAAAGTAATTCAACAACAAATATTAAATTATAATGAACAGATGGGCAAGCTCTCACGTAACAACTACTAATGAACTGTATTCTAAAATATCTCTGAATTAGAAAATCTTTAAAGGGGTGAAAAACAATTGCGCGATATTATAATACTTGCTTCAACATAATTCATTTGTGAAAATAACAGAATACATACTAATAACTTTGGAAGCATAATATTAATTCGTTTTTGTTCCAAATATTTAAAATAAATACCCTCAGTTTGCCTTCGTTCTTCTGACAAAACAAGTTCCTCTGCACCTATATAATCAAAAGCTGGATCTCGAACGTTTATATAAAAACCGTGTTGCATGTATTTATTTTCAAATGTGAAACAACCAGGTCCAATGGGTAAATTTTTATCGAATATCCCATGAAATCTGTACCGCGGATAGTTTATTATTCCGGAGCCTTCCATTCTACCGTTATTCCACATCCCTAAATTTAAAGCATTTCAATAAATTTTAGATTGTTACTGTGGCTAATAGTTAGATACCTACCGAAGTGAGTTATGTTAATCTTTTTGTAAGTGTAAGTTCCTAAACCGTGACGAAATCCTCGAAACCATGCCCCTTCATAAGTGTCCCCATTAGGGTAGTAATAAGAACCTTGACCATGCTTGAAGTCTTTTCTCCAATGACCAATATAGCGTGCCCCATCGGGGTAGATAAATTCACCCTGACCATGTTTTAAACCTCAACAGTTAAATTTTACAGGATAAAATATTGTTTAAAATTTATTGATGTATTCCCACGCTATTTACAACAAAAATATTAAAACTATATTTCTTTCAAGAATACTTTAATTTGTCAAAAACTAAAACATCGTTGACATTAGACCAACCTTTCCTCCATTCTCCATTATACCGTGCTCCATTGCGGAAACAATATAAACCTTTCCCCATACGTTTCCCATGACGATATTCTCCTTCGTAAATATCGCCATTAGGAAGTAAAGCGCTCCCCCATCCGTGTCTGTCTAAATTCTCGTCCCTTCCGCCTTCATATTCCTATTTTTCCCAAATTTAATGATTTTTGTTCATTATAAAGTAAATATAACTAAAGCAGCAGAAGGAATAAATTGGGAATAAATTCGGACACACTAGCAATGAAATACCCGAAAGTAATTTTTGATAATTTTTCTATAAACAATTCTTAAATAAGAATGATAAAAAAATAATACAGTACCCCATATGGATATACTTCCTCGCCCTCTCCTTCTCCTTTACCTTCTCCTTCTTCTTCATCGTCCATTTCAAGTCAGTTATAATTAAGTCATTTAAGTAGGCCACTTTGATATTTGAGAAAATAAAGCAAGAAAATCAGCAACACTATTTATTTTCCAAAAAAGTAGAAGCAAATCATATGATAGATTAAATATCATAAAATATGTAAGCTAAAGGATATCTTATGATAAAAGCCATTACAGTACAAATTATTTGTATAATCAACAAAAATATGGTCAAACGAGCTTCATGCATTGGTCCAGTTATAAGTAACACTAAATTAATTAATGTAAAATTATTTGTTATCACATAACCATCTTTTTCTTGCCATTTTATTATCCTAAATATTCTAAAAATATTAACAATTAACTTTCCTAAAAATGATAGATCATTATATTTAAAGGTAGTCGTACTTATGTTCAACTTATCTAATTTAGAATCTAATTTCGGCAATCGATGTCTCGGACAAGGTACTAAATGAAATAATTGAGGTATTGAATACAGGAAATTAAATATTTGAGGAATAAAAAAAAGCAGCGTTGTTTTACTAAAATGTCCTAAAATGCCTACAACGGCAAAGGTCATTCCCGAATAGTAACAAAACGTGTCGCCAACAAACACCAATGATGGATACCTATAACATAAATTTAAGTATTTGTTATATTTATTGAATTGTGGATCAATCTTTTTTCTTAAGAAATTATTGTAAAATTGTTTTTAAGGTGTGATACATGTGATAACAGTACATGATACGATATTTTGTTGGAATTACATGCGTAGCAGAATTAAAGAACGCAACCAAAACAATTATCTATGCCCTTTATCGTTCAGGTGCTGTATTCATATTTTGTTATGTCTATAGGTAGAAATGTCAAAAATGTAAACAAAAATATCTATTAAAATTTTAGTTTAACATTTAAAGATAATTATAAGAAAATCTTTTTATAATGAAAGATGAGACTGTTAACAAGTTAATATAAACAGAAGTGGAAAGGAAAAAATTTTAGTGTATTAAGGAAAAATCGCTTGACACGCCCAATAATTTCGTAAATGAGGTTATAAATGCGCCAATTCCGGATTTTTCACAAACGTCTTATTTTGTGGGTAATATTTTGCTTTCAAGTAAGTCTTCTATTGGCATATTTATTTTTAAATGTCGACATAATTTCTGCAACTTCGCGAACTTCCAAAAGGGTGTCGTTTTTTACAAATAATAGCTTTAAGTATGTACCCCTCAAAAAAAATACATATCATACATACAAACATAGAATATACCTTAAGAAGCAATCATCTAACAGTGAATTTATAGACTTCAATACAAGCATATGCTTTAGAAATGGGACTGATATAAAATTAATGTTACATAAACAAAACAATGATAAATGGAACTGCAAATGTCTTCCGACATTTCATGGAAACAATTGTGGTCAGCCAGAAATAATTTGGAGAGCATTGCTCAATTTTAGAAAATCAATTAAAATAAAAGGGCCAAGGAAATATAAAAGAAATATACTATTTGTTGTAATTGTAGATAAATTTTTAACAACAGCTCTTGAGATTATGATAAGTGAATTGAACAGTGTTGTAGATTTATTCATACTAATTGAATATTCTGGGGAAGTATTTTTAAAGAACCAATTAAACAATGGATTTCTAAGACAGTATCATAAAGAGGTACTATATCTTAACATTGTCAATGAAAATGATCTCTTTTCCAAGATACAAAATTCTATTGGAAATTTAAAGCAAGAAACACTAATTGCTTTTATTAATGAAAATGAAATTTTAAATAAAGAGGGACTGAAATTTTTGAAACTTTATGATGGTTGGCCTGAACCACTAAGTTTCCGAGTGAGATGGTCTGTTTATGGCTACTACTGGTTACATCCAAAGAAAACTGTTTTAAAGACAAATGTTTTCACATTTTCCTATTTAAATGAAAATTGGAATCATATAAAACAAAGCATTTTCAATAGCAAAACAGTAGATAAATTTGCTTATAAACAATTTATAATTGGAGATCTGAATCACTTTGGAGGGTGGTTTTGCCAATTTTGTTATGAGCCACAAACAATTATAAGCTATTTAATTGCCAAAAACATTACATCACTTAAACAACAGACTGCTAAAATAGACCAAGAATATTTGGAAGATTTAATGGGCAATGGGTTGTATATAGATGGAAAGACTGAATTAGAAAGAGTACATCGATCAAATGAGCATTACTATGCTCCTCATTTTGTGATAGAAAATAAATGGAATTATGATTGGTTACTTACAAATATATATTCAAGGTTGGATTATTGATATTATTTTATACCTGTTATTATGTTTGTTAATAATATTGGTGTAATTAAATTAAGGACAATGCTACTATAACTTAAATAAAATTAGTTTTAATTAGAATCCCTTCCAGAATTTATAAAATTAGGGCCCAATAGTTTTCTTTGAAGATAATAACTAATCAGGATTAAGTAGGTACTTTCTAATCTGAGTAAAAATAATCTTGAAACTAGCTTTGTAAAGGTATTAACATTTTTTTCACTTACCAATTGTACCAGAATAGAGCCAGTGAAGTAGCAGTGTATGGGACAAGGAAAAATAAGCTAAATCGATGTGCTTTCCATTGGTTCCCAGATAATTCAATTATATTAAAGATTATAAGTGACGAAGAAATAACAAGGCTCTGACCTACTTCGAGACCATTTATCCCAGCCAATATATTTATAGCATTGGTACAAAATATTGCCAGAAGACCCATAAATATGTAATATAAAATTCCCAAATTCACTGTTAATCCCAACCATTCTCTCAAAGGTTTTGGAACTATTATAGTAGTTGAATTAAAGTTGACGTAATACACCATCAGCAAAGGCAGTGAAGCTATGGTTGGAAGGAACAATTTATGTCTCCACCTCAAGTCCAAAACATCATCAGCAAATCCTAAGAGAGTCATACAGCATATGGACAGCAATGCTGATAATAATTCTACAAACTAGTAAGAAATATTAGCAGTAATTAAAAATTGCGTATATATTTATTTTACTGGCTAAAGCCAGTATATAAATATCAACAAATAGCCAGTTAAGTCTGTATGGAGTAAACTGAAATTAATTGTTATATTTTCGGGAATAATTCTGTTTAGTAATCTATAGAAAAAAATGCCTCAGGTAAATGTTTGATTAAAAAGGACATAAGAGACATTTAACTTACTTCATCATGGGGAATTTCTCCATTAAAAAAACGACTTCCAAAGGGAACCGGTATAAATAAAAAAAGTGTTATAAGGAAAATGCATCCGCTTAACACTCCCAATGATTCAGGTCTACAAGTTGTAAGATGTAAATATGTAAATCACACATTAATAACATTACTTACATTTTCTCGCTTGTACGTTTATTCATATCTATACCAAAAAGGTGTGCTTTGATAAATGTGTTTTTAAACTTTGGTATCAGTTTCATTGTTGTAAAAAATGCAACAACAGACATTACTACATTGATAAACATTGGGAGCCCTATTTGCCACAGTTCTTTAACGTCCATTTTATTGGATAAAAACGTGTTTCTAAATAGTTAGATTTAAGCACTTCAAAACATCCATTAAACTGATAATAAAAACGTACTGCTTGGTTAGAAACATTTTCTAGGTTAGGAAGGTTATCTGTATATATACTAAATGTTTTTTCGTCTTTATTTCCAGAATGCATATAAATGGGATTTGTTTTCTTTCTCTTACAGGTATTTTTCTTTTTACTCTGTAAACTGTTAATTAATTCCCTGGTTTTGTAATTGTGTTCAATTTTATGAATCCTGTTAACTTTATTAAATACGTTATATGTATTATGTATTATAAAGTTATACTAAAGTTTGTTGTAATAAGTGTAAATAATGAGTATAATTAATAAATATATTTCAATTTTATTAGCTTTTTATTGAATAATCTAATATAGAAGTAATTTATTGAAGAATTAAACAAACATTTACAGCAAAAGATAAATTTTAATCCTTATACTCCTCGGGAGGAAGATATTCACCAATATCCTTACTACATTGTAAGAATTATAAAGTGTATTTTTTAAGACGTGCAACCTCAAACAACAACATCTAAATGAACAACATCCAAAACCGACCCATTTATACGGAAAATCAACACGGTAAATTAATTTTGAGAATTGTTTTGTTAAAACTTTTCGATAATCCCTTATATTACACTTAAGGAATTATAGTATGTCCTTCGTAACTCAGGTACCTGGATGGACATCTCACGGTCCATAGTTAAATATTATTGCATCTAGTTTACAGGTTTCAACTATATTACAGATGTCTATCAGATAGCTACTAAGCGGCAATAATAATAACACTAAAATTTGCCCGCCAAATTATCTGATTTCCCAAGCATCTTATGCTCTCCTAATACAAATTTCCGATTTTCAAAGTTTCGCGAGAATTTGATTTCGTATCGTGTCTGGCACCTTCACCAAAATTTAGCTACCTTTGAATTGTTTTTGACAATAAACGTGTAAAT